AGTACTTTTTGATTTTCATCTTTAATACACTAACTTGAGTTAAATCTTTACTTTTTTTTTTTCTCTTTGTTTGGCTTGTTTATACATATATTTTTCACCCTCCTTAGTATCTAATCTATTATAATTATTTTGTACAACCCTTCTTATCCTTAAAACCTCAATATAATAAAGCTGGTTCCTTTTTTTAATTCATATCATCTAAATATTTAAGATTTCATATATTCAATATTGTTAATAGTACTTTCTCTGATTGTTTTTTTAGCTAGGGGAACCGATTCAATTACGCTCGGGGAACTAACACGGTTAAACTCAGAAAACAGGCTTCGCAAGTGGCTAAAAACTTATCAATCCATACAAAGATCATCAAGTGGCCTATGGGACGTATCTACACTCATCAACGAAAAGCTCCGCGAGAAATGCATGAACAATAGTCCTACGCCCTACTTTAAGCATTAACAATCGACAGCGACAAGCTCCGTGAGGGGTATCTAACCATTGCCAATGGCTTATGAGATGTAACAACACCTGACGACAAAAAGCTCCGCAAGGAGTGTCTAACCATCGTCAGTGGCCAATGAGACGTATCGACACCCGACAGTGACAAGCTCTGCGAGAGGTGTATGAATGATCGTCCTGTGCCCTACCTTAAGTGTTAATGCCCGACAATGACAATTTCAGCGAGGGGTGTCCAACTATCGCCAGTGGCGTATGGAACATATCAGCACCCGACAACGATAAGCTTCTTGAGGGATGTATGAACGATTGTCCTGCGCCCTACCTTAAGCATTAACACCCGACAGCGACAAGCTCCGCGTGGGGTGTCTAACCATCGCCAATAGCATATTGAAATTGTCGACACCCGACAACGACAAGCTCCGTGAGAGATGAGTGAAATAGTCCTGCACATTACTTTAAGCGTTAGCAATAGGTAGCGACAATTTTCAGGAGGGGTGTCTAACAATCGTCAGTGGCTTATAGGAAGTATCAAATCACGGTAACAACAAGTTCCGCTAAGTGTGCGTAAACGATAGTCTTTCCCCTTAAATGTGACGTTAACACCAGCCAACGACAAACTCCAGGAGGAGTCTATGACATCCTCATGCGAAATGCACGTGCACTCGCCAACAACTCATAATAATTGAAATTACTCATGCATTCCAGCAATCAACAGGTAAATGAGAAAAAGGCCAGGATAATGAAACCTCCAGCTTCAAAAATTTTTATACGTCACGATAATTTATTTGCAAATTACAAATAATAAATCTCCTTTACAATGAAACAAAAGGAAACAAAAAGAAACCAAAATATACAAATGGGGGCGCTTTAACAATGAGCATTCGAAGACTCCCCAGAACCTGCTTCCCTGGTCCCTTCCACACCTTCGGCACCATCAAGACTCCCAGTACGCTGACTCTTCTCCGCCCTCTGAATATGAGAAAAGCTTCCCAAACTCTGTATTTCGTCACTTGGGCTCTACCAGCTTATGCTTTACAAACCTCTAGATCGCGAGTCAAGTGTCAATCGTAACCTAACGAGAAAGCCCTTCAACATATGCCTTTTTAATGACCATCGAAAACCTTTTTTTTCCTTCAACCCTCTATTTACCTTCAAAAGAGTCGCTACCCGCTCCTCACTGCTAGGCATCTATTCTCCTCTCCTCTAAGGAAAGCTTCAATCTCTCTTCCGCCATGGTAAGTTTTCACTTCAACTTCCGAGCCCGCAAGGCAGACCTCCTAACGTCCTCCTCGGCTTTGTCTGGGAGAAGAGACTGAAAATGAGAAGCCTGTCAGGCAAGGGCATGATAACGATCGACCACTTGGAACAAGTCCCTTCTGTCATCGATCTCAAGTTCCTCTCAAAAGCACGAGACCTGAACAAGTTAATTAGAATAGAGGGGCAGTCTTGATTAAGAGGATTGTTAGGGAATCACTCAGTCTCCCTGTCAATAAGAGCATAGTGATCGCTTGTCCAAACACCAACTCCTTGATCGTGCGAGAACGCCCACTCAGGCAGAACCACCCCCTCTTGCACGAGAGGGGCAAGTCGACATCAGGGACAAAAGCCTTTCCTTCCCTCTAAAGGGTGTCGCTCTCCATCGGATCTGCCACCCCTTGTCCCTCTTCGGAATCAGTCTCAATAGAGATAGGGCAGGAGGCGTGACCCCCCCCATCCCTGACAGAACTCCTCCAGCCGATGGGCGCACTGATAGGCCTCCAGACTTAGGATCATGAATCTATTCTACATCCGCCACATATAGGAACGAAACCTCTGTGGCAGGAGTTGAACTAAACAATTTCTGAGAGTATTTCCGAACTATGGAGCCTACGATACTATGCGGGAATAAAAAGAAGAGAATAGCGAAACCCAGAGAAGGGAAAATGACGACGTAACCAGGGAAAAGAAAAAAAATGAGGAAAGAAAACGAACAGAAGCCCTCAACGATTGTTCTACCACATATGTGTATGTGTGTGTGTGTGTGTGTGTGTGTGTGTGTGTGTGTGTGCGTGCGTGCAAAAGAAGATATCAGGAAAGCCGAAACGCCGCAGACACGACTGATAAGACGAAACTACATGTTGCCCAAGTAAAATAATCATTACCAAAAATAAAAAATTAATTTATTTTATTTCACTCATTATTTATTTATATACACAAAAAGTGGGGGACGTCACGCCAAACCCTCGATTAAAGCTAAGAGATGCAAAATCTAAGTGATCGTTCACGGCTTCGCCCGAGACAAACCTCGATGGCAAAGTTGTTCATACATAAACTCACTGCCAGCTTGAAAAGGTCATTCTGACTATCTATAGGCTGACTGACGAGGGCCTCTCTAACTGCTGACAATTACAAAGACAGACACGTCACTTCCCCACGATCGGCAAACACTCCCTTTAAAAACCACAAGTTCCTCGTGCAGTGCAACAACTTTCCTCGATGGCAAGTTGTTCGTACATAAACTCACCGTCAGCCTAAAAAGGTCATTCTAGCTATCTCTAGGCTGACCGACATGGGCCTCTCTAACGACTGATAGTCCAAACACAAACGCGTCACTTTCCTACAATTGGCAAGCACTCCCCTCGGAAAACCACAAGTTCCTGGCGTAGTGCAACAACTTTCCTCTCCACTTGGTAGTCTCTCTCAAGAACCTCAGTAATTCTTCTGTCACCATCTCCTCGAGGATACTCCATAAAACGAAGAAAACGCTCTGCCCATCTCAGCAAGGCGGCGAAGTATGAAGTAAGAGGATACACGGTGCCCCCAGGTCACCTCCTCCCTTGCAGCACCGAAAGAAACTTGACAGTCTGCACCCTGGCCTCCAATGCCCTGAGCATCGACATCCCGCTTAGTACCTTGTTCGGGTGCGCTCAGTTCCGCCACACTCACTCTCCCCACCACAACTTATTTTGTATTCACTCCCTCGACCGCAACCTGGTCCACAACCGTCTTGTCATCTTTAGGACCAGCACCAGTATCTACCGATTACAGAATCAACAATCAGGACTTCAGTTGATGCACAAAAAAAAAATGCAAAAAATAACTCAAGCTATATACCAAGAATCTGCCCCCATTCAGATAATGGTGTAAGAAAAAATATCCTCACCGGCTTTCCTTTGTCCTCCACCTTCAGAAGAAAGACCGCTTTTAGTCAATCGAAACCATGTCTCAGCCTTAGCTGCTGCCTCCTCATGACCACTCTGGGGAACTGCGACGCCCGCTGCCACCTGGACGAACAATCTCTCTCCCACAGCAGGAACACTGACCCCTGGCGAGTGTCCCATAGGATGATCGACAGGACGACCTCCATCCTGCCCTACAACCCTCTCCTGGGGTTAGCCCACAAGGAAACCAGAAGAACCAGCTTAGGCATAACTTTTTTCCTATTCACTTCCAACTTACAAGCCTGCACCCACATATCATTGATGGCTTTAAGCAGGACGCTCTTATCGGAAGGCGACACTCCTTCGTCGGGCATTGCGAAAAACACGAAAAGAGAAGGACACGAGACAAAGGAGAAAAAAAACGGAGACGGCGCAAACCTCCATTGGCCAAAAGCCTACTTATAGTGGCTCCGACACGGAAATTTAACGAAGTTCATTATTGTGCAATAATGTTATTTAATTATTTCATATATGTTAAAAAGATTCTTTTATCCTCGTGTATTGTACAGTTTCGATGAGCAAGAGAATCAAGAAACGGAATATGTACATATAAAAATATGTTAGCACGAATCTCAAAGCAGATGAACAGCTCAGGAAGAAGATGCGGACGATCGAACAGCTCCTTCGACGATTGTTTTTTAGCTGAATATTGGCAAAAGAAGTGTCTTGTTCGAACGATCGACAAAAGACGCTAGGAGAAGCCCCTGCAGGGTGATAAAAAACCTTCGGGACGATCGATAGGGAGCACTATTTCGGACTGGATATCGATCGCGTTAAAGCTTACCAAAGAATCGGCAACTCTCATTGATCGAATCAGCCTCCGGTCATTATATATGTGAATAACTCTATAATTACCAAAAATTTCTCGTGAATAGTTAATGATGAGAGATTAATATGTAGTTTTGTAATATTGAGACCTATGTTAATAAATAGGGTCCATGTCATGAATAAAGAACACTCTCTTTTATTATTTTCTATTGTGCGCGCTCTCTCTCTCTCTCTCTCTCTCTCTCCCTAATCACTTCCTAGCAGAATATTCTATTCCTGAGATATGTTTCTTCTGACATTTTTGGATTCAACAAATAAATATCTTGCAAATTAATGCGCACTCATACGTTAAGAAGAAAATTGGATTTGCAAGCCTAAATCTAAAACAGTAATAATGCTCTAACATTTATATCATCATGAAATCTTTCCGATGCTAAAATTCGAACAAAGGTCACCCATAGCTCCACACTTCTAACAATTTCGAATCCAAAAAACGCCAATCCCCTCCCATTACAACCAACTTCCAAATCCCAAACAAGAGCAAGCTGCCCGAAAACAAAATGATCGAAAAGGAACCTGAATCGTTCCGCGAACATAGACTTTGGGGGATTTCCGGACCTTTCACCGAGGAGCAAGTAAACGGGAGTCGATGTTGGAACTCTAAGGCAGGAAAGGTGGAGAAGAGCTCCTCCCCTTTCCATTGCCGCCCGACCACTGAGAACCAGGGGAGTCTCCGAGGAGGAGCTGGGGGCTCCGGGCTTGAACTCCGTTGTGGTTTGATGGTGTTTTAAGCGGGGATGGAAGCCGGTTCAGGTCGATTCGGCCCGCCCGGTCCCACTCCCGACCGGTTCGAGTCGAGCAGATGGGAATACCCGGGCGATATTCGGTTGGTTGGAACTTGGAAGGGATTTGTCCACGTTCAGGCTTCCAGTATCGGAGGTGATAAAAGAATTCGAAGTGATTGCTTCATAAATTTGAAAAAATATTCTAGAATTTAGATGTATACGGTTAATCATATATATATATATATATACTATAAAATTCAAATGCATTTTAAATAAAGCTAAGAAAATATATATTTATATATTTATTTTTTTGTGTATGCGCGCGCACATGTGTACATTCGGGAAGTGTCAGCACGAATCACAAAGACATCACACGGATGGTAGGAGTGACGGCGTAGCCCCGTTGGACCTACCAAGGATGAACCAGGGCCGCACGCTTACAACTTGACCCAACATACCGGGAAAATGGTACAGCTCAGACAGACAAAGAGTACATCAGGCCCTACAGAACCTTTATGCCAGAGCCATTCAAATGAATCTGACACCTTTTTGCCCAGATAGGCCGAGAACGTGAGAAACTCTTTTAATTTTGGAGCGATTGACTCGAACTTCTAGAAAGTAGCCGCTTGGACAGTCGCCCGACCTCGCTACCAACTGCCTTAATGGATGCCCAACCATATTCACATGACCTACAGATAATATTTATAAATAGTCTTAAATACCCCCGCTAATTGTATAATAACTCATTCATATAAATATGAGGTTCATTTTATGAATGAGGAGTACGTATTTTTACGGTTCCACATTGTGTCATTCCCCTATTCCACTCTCTCTTTCAATGACCAATGCTCTATTCCTGGGCGTGGCTCACGGGCAGATTTGAATTCAACAATATATATATATATATATATAT